AAACTATAATTTGCCTTGGTCATGGTGAATTGGGGACATATTTATATGTTGGGTGGATCTGGTTTCAATATGGAAAGCAATGGGCAAAAATAACAAAATAACAAAAATAACAAAAGAGCTCTATTGGAAATATCTACGAGAATTTATTGGCATCAGTTTACTTTTGTTTTCACTGTGATAGTTAACCAGGGACATCCTTTCAAAAGGACCTTCTGGTATAGGACAGGGACTGCATCACTAATAAGAGATTCTAGGGCACCTTTGTAGGCAATGAGGCTTTACTATTTGTCCTTTGCTAAACCCTTACTTTGATTAGTTGAAAGGACTAGGGTCTCTCAGTATTAACAAACTAGAGGCCCGATGCAGAAGATTCACAAAAGAATGGGCATTCCTTCCCCTGGCTGTCAGCACCACCTTCGCTCTGACCTGAAGCCACCCTTCCGCCTTCCCATGCTTCTCAGAGGCCTAGAGTAGCTGGGGCAGTACGGAACACCTGTGTCCCACCCCGCATCCGGCACTCAGCGACTGCATATGCAAATTAATCTGCCATATTTGTCAGGTTAATTTGCATACCGCTCCTGGTTGGCTGGTGGGTGTCGTGAAGGTATGGTCAATTTGCATCTTACTCTTTTCTTTGTGTAGATAAATTAGCTTCTCTACACTGGAGTCTCAGCATATGAACTGATGGGGAGACCTAGACCAACAGCTGAAAGCCATTTGGTTTGTCTTTACATTCCACATGGTAACTACACTGAGTTCCACTATCTTCTTAAGGCTTCCCTATAACTCCCATTCCCACTGCTCTCAACAAACAGCCCAGCCTCCTGTTTTATCAAGAAAATTGATAAAACATACAATAGTCTTTTTTCCTTGCTGTCTGTGACATTTTTCCTTCTATGCATATTTCCTTCTATATGCTCATCTTCTGTAGGTAATTTCACAACTTCAACTACCAAGTATACATTGAAAACTGTAAAACTTCTATCTCTAGTGTAGACAAGTCTTGAACCTCAAACTCTACTGATGTCACCAACAGGCACAAGAAATATATCCCAGACTGAAGTCACCACCTTCTTCCCCATTGCCCCTGAAATCTGCTCCTCCTTCTTCTGCACTCCCAACAGTGGATCCCTTAGCCATAGCCTGGGAGGATGACTTAACATCCCCAAAACTATTTCTAACTCTTTTTACCTGTTAAAAGTTCCTTCTCCTACATACTTCCCACTTTTGACAGTTGTATTTTCTTAATGATATAAACCTCTTCAAAAATTTCCATCTCTCTATTTTTATTTCTCCAAACCATTCCTTATGGCTGACACACAGACCTTTCTAACATGCAAATCAGATGGTAACCCTTCTTTATTGGAAATCCTTTAGTGGCTTCCTACTACCCTTGGAATAGATTCTGCCTCTTCTAAACTCCATACACTTTTATACAACTTCCCAATGGACTTTTATTCCAATCCCCCACAGTGATTCATACTCAACAAATACCCTTCTGATTCCAAATCTGGATTTTTCACTATGTTCCTTTCTCCATTAAGAGCACCACTATCTCACTTGTGCCTAAATCATATATCTGAACAGCATTGTTAATGATCCCCTGATGTCTCCCCAACACTCACCTCATCACACCTCCTTTGGACTCTCCCAAACTCATGAGCTTGTCCTTGAATCCAGTATAGATAGCCTGGCCCAGATCATCATCATCTCTTGTCAGAAAACAGCCTCCTAACTAGTCTTTTTCTAACATTGTTCTGCCTTCAGAACTTTCTCTACACCATAAGCAGGAGGAGTTTTCTAAAACTTATATGATCATGCCTAAATGATCATGCCTAAAACCTTACAATGATATTCCACTGCTTTGAGCATCATAAAAAAAAATATCATGAATGGAGCTAAGGTTCTAGTGAAGTAAGAAAGATGAAAAATCCTATATAATAAAAGCCTAATAGGCTAAGTGTCTGGTCATCAGTTCAACCAATCAAAGTGTAATATGCTAATGATATGCTAATGCAACTTAACCACTTGCTATGACGTGCACTCACCACCAGGAGGCAGCCACTCCGACCAGTAGGTTAGTTTGATGCTGGGGTCCAGCTGATCAGAATTGAGCAAGATGGGCTGGACAAGCACTGGAGCCCTCCTGCAGTTCCTCCCCAGCTGGCCAACTTCCCGTGTCCCTCCCCAGTCCCAATTGTGCACCGGCAGGGTCCCTCGGCCTGGCCTGCACCCTCTCACAATCCAGGATCCCTCAGGGGAGTTGAAGAGCTGGTTTTGGCCCAACAGTGGAACAACCAGTCACTATGATGTGCACTGAACACCAGGGGGCAGATGCTCAATGCAGGAGCTGCCCCCTGGTGGTTAGTACACTGCCACAGGGGGAGCGCTGCTCAGCCAGAAGCTGGGCTCCTGGCTGGAGCGTGTAGTGACAGAAGTAGGAACCTCTATAGCCTCCACAGCAACACTAAGGATGTCCAACTGATGGCTCCCGAACTGTGAGAGGGTACAGGCCAGGCTGAGGGAAACCCCCCCTCTGCCTCCAAGTGCACAAATTTTGTGCACTGGGCCTCTAGTAATAAATAGGATGATAGCAAGACACTGGGTAGGGGTGTATTATTTTAGATCCAGTGGTCAGGGCCAACCTCTTGCAGAAATGATGTTTCAGTGAGACCCGGAGGATCAGAAAGAACTAGCCTTGAAGAAGGAAGCAGTCTTCAGTTTTCTTACTTACCATCATCCTCACTGAGCTGTGAGCTCTCTGAGGATGAGGCTGTGATTTAGTCATCACTAGCTTAAACATCTACCCCCGTTTTTGTCACTCAGAGAGTTTCAAATACATGTTTGATGAGTGAAGGGATGAATGAAATTAAGTTTAAATTTACATTTTTGATCGATCCAACCTGAAGCTAATTGTCTCATAAATTTCTATACATTTGCCAACTTCAACTTGTAAAAGTTCTAAGCAAATTCCTAGACAGAGAAAAGCAATTCCTTAAATCCCTCTAACATATTTCAGTATAGATCCTGCAAAGCAATTCTTCCAACCCAGAGCCTTAAATGCATATTGGAATGGATGAACTACTTTTTAGAATCCTGCAGAATTTTCAGCCCACCAACCACAAAAGTCAGTTTCAATTAGCAGGCAGGCTCCATGGCTCCCTGGCTTTGAGCCTCTTGACTGATAAATTGTATTAATACAAACCCAAATCAACATCAGATATTCAGATTCATAAGGAAAATGTTTTCAAGTCATTATGATTCATTTCTGCTAAGAAGGGAAAAAAGGGATTCCTAAACTGTATTGTATTGCTTTTAATTATTGGATTTTACTCTGAAAAATAAGGCATTCAAGTTCATAATCCATTACTTGCAAAATAAAAAGGCTTTTTAAACAAATTTAGCAGCAAAACCTGACATCATGGAAGTATTTATATCTCTCATTTAATCTATCTGGGGTGACTATTCATTTGTCTCACTACAGAAAAATAATGTGTTTAATTACAGGGTGCTATCTCTGACCCCACAGAAATGTGTATTGTTTTTCAAAAATAAAATTTTTAAAATCTGACTTTCAAGGTACAACTAGACCCAAGAGGTTGGGATAAAGTACCTGCATACTATGATAACAGTCCCCCAATTCTATTATCTTCAGATTTATAAAACTTTCACAATGTGTGGGCTTTGAAGTACTCAGCAAAAGTAAAGTCACAAAAACACATTAGCATGATTTGAGCATTTGGAAGAAATATAACTGGCAACTGGTTTAGAGTTTCCTTTCAGATCTTATTTAGAGTATGCATTCATGCCACTGTATCGTTGCTTTTCTAATAAGTATGTACTTCCATGAGGAAAGTTTTATAGGCAAATCCTTTTCCTGCACATTGCAATCTTTAGAATAATGTGTCATGGCTTCTAATTTTCCAGTGTTTCATTGTTCTCATCTTATAACTTTTATTATTGTCTTATACTTTGTGTATTTTCTCCCAAAGGTTTGAAGAAGTAGCACCTACCTGTTGGGAACAAGGTATCTGCTCTTTACAGGTCACAAACCCAGGACCCAGCTGCAAACCTCATTGTATATATTACATCAGACCCTCCCATTCACCCTGCAGAAATCTTTTCTATTCTTCCCATCAGGGCACTGAGCAAACTCAGGCTCACTTGATCCAAGGCCATCTGGCTAACTAAGTGATTGGTTATAATTTGAAGTAAGGAATGTCTAGCTCCCAAGTCCGTTTCTTCCAAAGTAACATGGAGCAAGTAACTGGCTCATGCTCCTATCTCATCTTCCATCTGTGCGTAGTTGGAAGGAAGACTTTAAGGCTGCTTCATCCATGTAGAAATGAGAGTAAAAATATTTCCCAAAACATGATTGTTAGAATTTGGCAGACTCTTTATACTTGCATAAAATGAAGACTGAGTATCTAGTTCTAAAAGATTCAACTGTAAAGCAATATAAAATTGCAATCAATGTAAATTTGGTTTTGTTTTATTATTTTAAAAAATAACTACAAATAACTGGAATTTGGGGAGGTTTGTCAGCAAATATAACAAATCAGATGTTCAATATTCACCCACCTTGTAGGAGCATCATCAACATTTATTGGAAATAGTATTATATTGTACAAAGGCTTTCACCATATAACAACATAGCATAAAAGGACAGAGATGGAGATCATTAATGATTTTAATTATTTTAAGGCCCGTTAAAATTAGAGAAATACTAAAGCACCCACGATGTTAAGGGTTTATTATTACAGCGTTTTAGAGTTTACTAGTTCATACCTTTCAATCACAGCAAGTTATTAGCAGTGAAGGGATGAACCCTCTTAAGAAGATTTTTATTTCAATGATAGGGTGTTATGGACAAGACAACCTAAGTTTAAAAAAAAAATTAGTAGCAAGCGCTAGTTGAGTTAATCAGTTAAAGACAAAACTGTGCCCATGGGAAGCTAAATGAAAAAGCAACAGTAAAGCTTACAGAACTTAGCTCGTACAATTTGCCTTGAAGGCGGAAGATTGGTTCCCTGAAATAGCAAAGAATTATATGCTTTAGTTCAGAAAAAAAAGTTTTTAAAATCAAGTCTGTTATTACCTCTTCTCCTTTCAAAACAATGGGAAAAAAAAAATCTAGAGCAAAGGTTTCAATGTGTTCAATAATTGTACCTCTGCATTAAAAAACAACTATAAAGCCATCATTGTTTTGACTTGAAAAGAAATAACAATGCAAATACTCATTATCACATAAAACATAAAAGCAGCAGCAAACTATGGGGGTTAATGCAATCTCTGTAGAGCGCTATTAGTCAGAGACAGAGGGTCAGCCCAAAACACAAGAACTCAAAAGATCAGGTCTCTTGAGGAATTAACATCTTTATTAACCAACAGGAATTGGGTGTGGCGGCAGTGAAATGCAACAACTGCCTTCTCTATGAGCTGTCCCTTCACTGTTATCAAGCTGTGCAAACGTGTGAACTAGTCAGCAGCATCAGAAAGCTCATGCAACTATTCACCATATTTTAACCTTAAACTGACTCACGGATTTTACGTTAAATCAAACTTACTGGTAATGTAAGCAAGCAAAGTAGGATACAAGGAGTCAAATTTGAAAAACAGAGCAAGTAGCAGAGAAGTTATTTTTTAAAAATCAATAGGGTTAACTGCATAATGTAGCAAAATAATAAGGGGGTGGGGGGGAATTCGATCTAAAAACTTTAAAAGCCAAAACAAAACAAAACTGAAAGCTGCATTTCCAACAAAATTTGCGCAGGATTAATTTGCATTTTTAATAGTCAATCAAGCAATTTAGTTCAAACTCATTGGGGCATGCATGCACTAATTCTTTTAAGCAATTCCTACCTGATTTCCAATTGTGTTTTTCTTGTGAACCTGACTGCTCCTCTGCTGAGCACTGAGAAAAGCAAAGGAGAGCAGCACTGAAGAAATGTGTAAGATATATATTTTTTTTTCTGAACAAATAACAGATACTAAAATATATACAGGCTTTAAAAAAAATGTATCAACAACTGAGGCAGAGCTATATCAAAAATTCACGATGGTATTCTGCAGCAAAACCAACTCAGTGGAACTCCTCGTCCCAATTAACAGTCACAAACCAAAGACATAGTAACACCACAGGAAACATAGCTGCATTGCTGCATCAGTAACATAGGAGGCAAGGCAAGTATTCGGGACGTCCCACAGGTGTGCAGAGTAGATGTACTGAAAATGAACAGTTAATAGTTATTAAATATATGCCATGTTCCGAGTGCTTTACAGATATGAGTGATTTTAATTAATTTTACCCTGAGAAGTAGTTACTGCTATTCTTTTCGTTTTACAGATGGGGAGACCGAGTCACAGAGTAGCTAAATGGATTTCCCAAAGTTACTCAGCTAATAAGTGGTGGACCAAGGAGTCGGTTTCCAGATCCCAAACTCTATGACATTTTACAATCTCTTTGCTTTGAATTCCACTCTATTCTGACAACTCCCATAGAACAAAGCCAGCTTGGACCTATCTCCCCAAATCTAGACTCATACGTTTTTGATAATGCAGCTTCTCCACTTGGATTTCTAATGGGCACCTCAAACTTAAGATGCTACAACCGAACTCCACCCACTGCCTTCCCCTTCTTAATTCCGTCCTGTCCAAGTGCGTAAGCCCAAATTCTTGAATCCTCTTTCTTGTACATTGGTTCTATCCTCAGTAGGGTGCAGGAGGGCAGCCAATCGATGTTTCTCTCTCATCAATATTTCTATCTCCCTCTCCCTTCCTCTTTCTCTAAAATCTTTTTTTTTTTTAATTTTTAAAGATATGAAGGCTTTCTTTTGGTAAATCAATGAGTAAACATCGAAACCCTCTAACTGGCAGCGTCATAGTTTTTAAAGGCTCTTTTGAAGATCGATGAAATAGTCCAAAATAAAGAAAAAGCTCAAATTATTAATCAACTGTTTAAAGTAATGGGATATTATGGTTCAGGGACACATCAGAAATCAACATCACACTTTTGAACCTCTGCACAAAACAGCAATATGGGAGTTCAACCAGGGGGCAAGGCCAGCCGGCCAACCTCCCATATGCCCTCCCTCTGCCTGGCCTGATTGGCCCAATTTTACCTGTGCCAGACCCCACCTGTGCATGAATTTATGCACTGGGCCTCTAGTCTTTCATAATCTCCCACCAGTTTTCACTCAAACTCCTGAAAACCCGTATTAAACATTCGAGTGAAGCTGGAGAAAGGGTGGGTGGTGAAAGGCCATACTGTATTTGATTACTAAAGACATTTTGTGTATATTTTTGCTTTTCAATGTCCTCATGTTAGACTTTCAGCTTATTTCTCATTTCCTCGTTTTTTTGTTATTTTTTGAGATTTTAGTTAAATGCTTAAGTCCCTTAATCACTACGACATCATCTCTCTCCAACCATTTTCCCACATAATCCAAATCTACATTATTCTGAGTTCTGTGGTAAGGCTGTGAATGAGGTTGAGTTTGTGTCTGACTGTGACTAGGGGTCTGATGCACCCACACTGCCTTCTGGCTGCCTGCCTGCCAAACCCTGAACATGAAGTGTGCCTACAGCAAACATGTCAAACTCATGGCCCACAGGCCTTCTGTGGCCCACAATGAATATTTTTGTGGTATGTAAGAAACGTTTTAATAAAAATTTCGTAACTTAATTTTTACAGTATCCTGTTATATATATTATTAGTAACAAACATTAACTAATGACTGATTACTATAATTGTGTTGCATTAATTTCCCTTATGCACAGGCACACCATTTTCTCCACTAATAGTAGTAGTGAATATTTTAGCAGCCAATTGCCACATCATTAGTATTGTACTGACTTGTTTAGTGTGCACAACAGGAAATATTTCAATTTCAGAGAACAAGAATAATAGATTCGCATTATGCTTATTAATTTGTGCAGTTATTCAGTGTCTGGTAAGTTAATATTCAAGAAAAAATATTAATTTTTATTAAAATGTTCTATTATTTTATGTTAATTATTACTCATTTATTTCAGCCCTTTGTATTCAGCATGTTGCTATTGAAATACTAGTAAACCTATGTTTCTATGAAAATTGAAGCTTTTATTTTTTTGCGGCCCACATAAACTTAAATCTTGTTTATTTGGCCCGTGTTAGCCCTTGAGTTTGACATGCTTGATCTACAACACTAGTCCACGTGGGGCCTCAGATCTTTACCCTGCAGGCTTTCCTCTCCTCTTGGAAAAATGAAAGAAAAAAAAACTACTCATATAATGTAATCATGCCTTATTCCCAGGGATGGCCACCTCTTCCAAGTACCATCATTGTGTTTAGCGTGCACATGTTTTCTAAAGAGAAGATGTTTAAAAACACTGACTTGCAGTGATAACTGCAAACTCTAACAGACCCAAACTATTGGGGGCCTTGAATTCTGTGTAGGGTCCCCTTAAAATCAAACAAGAGAAAAAGGGATGGATATAAAGAGATTCTCAATGACACCTCATGCAACCTGAGCAGAGTCTGCCCTGAATGCCCCTCAGTTTCTCAGCTGTAAAGTGAGATTGTGTGCATGTGAGTGTGTGTGTGTGTGTGTGGGGGGGGGGGGTAAAAGACAGAGAGACAGAGTTAAGTCAGGGACTAGACAAGCTGTTTCTTAGGTTCCTTTTAGATCCAATATGCCTCTCAGAAGCTTGCGAGCTACACTAGGTGAAGGTACTTCCTCTGACAGAGTCTTCATCTACTAAACAATGCACTTGTAAGAACATGCAGAAGGAAGTAGATTTATTTTATAGTCAACCTCAAATATTAGTTAAGAACATATACTAATCTTTACTTTCCATCTAAAGAATACCCTTTTTGTAGCAACTGGCCCCATCCCATAAACCCAAAGATGTTGTTAATGACATATTTAGGTACTTGAAGTTACTTCATAAGTAACATCATAAAAAACTAAGTGCCTCACTAGAAAGCACCCTTTATCATGATCTTTATGCATGAATGATAACTGAACTGAAATAATTTCAAAATACTTATTTATAAATGTGTTCATGAGAAATCATGCAAAGACTTGCAAATGAACTTGAGCCTTTGGACATAATCTTGTTTATAGGTCTTTAACTGGTTATATATGCCATATTGGAAAAGAGACCTAGGCGTAACGTTTTCACTTGACAAAAATTTGAGAGCACCAGCTCTCTGCAAGGAGCTATGTGGAAGATATGAACATGAATAAGGTATGGTCCCTGTAATCAGAGGCCTACAATTTCTCTAGAGTGGGGGGTGAGATTCACACACAAAAAAGAACAAAGGAAGAATATAAGCTCTACAAAAGTAAACATGTGAGAATGTAATACAAAGGCGCACCCCCCCAACCAAGTGCTTTTGTTTCACATGTGAGCTATAATTACCCCATAGCTTCTTATTGTGTGTGCTTGTTGTTAAGCGTATAAATTCCTAGTACAACCAAGTCACTGTGGAAGGCTTTTTAGAACCCATACATGAAGCCGAACTAGGCTTCATGTATGACTCAATAGTCACATGCAGCCGAAATACATGAAGCTGAACTAGGTTTAATGCTCTGAGACATAACGATTTTAAAAGTATATAACAAGAGGTTTAAATTTAAGTAAAAATAAGAACACATTGAAAGACATTCAAAGAAAAAGAAACCCATGTTACCATGTAGCTCAATGTTTTTTGCACGTTCATTTCTAGTTTCTATCCTTGTCCATGTGCGTACAAAACAAAAGATTGAAATCACAGGAGAGTATGCCAAGGGGTTTATAACCATTTTTCAAACAAATCCTATGCATGGTAATTGCTCTGCATCAGAGACAAACAAAAGGGATTATTCTGGTCTGATGTGATCTGAGACTTTCACAGAAATCTTGAAGAAAGGTAAAATTTTAATAGAGAAAGACAGCCGAGTGCATTCCAGGAGAATGGTGTAGTATCAGCAAAGCCAGAAGGTCAAAAAAAAAATGAGGCACGTAGAAAAGTTGTGGAATGTAAAACTATTACAGTAAAATTATCTAATCATAAAATCAGGGTTATAAATTACCTTAAAAGCCATCTAGTACAGTAACTGAATGTGAGGGCCAATTAGGAGAACTTGGCTGTTATGGTAGAGCCAGACAAAGTATTCAAAGTTTCTGAGCCAGCAAATGGCATGATCAAAGCAGTGTTTTGTAAAAATTCTGAGTCTGAAGCACAGAAGACAGAAAGCAGGCAGCCTAGCCCGCTTCCTTCTGTCTGCAAGTCCTGCCCAGCCTTCAAAGTCCAACCAAGCACCTCTTCTGTGTTAGGCCTTCTTAGAAACCTCCAGTTCTCTCTCCTTCCCATGAATTCCCAAAGATCTTGGTCTGCACCTGTATCATATAAACAGGATTGTGTCAGGCAGGTCTCTAATTCCTCTCTGACAATGTCTGTTCCTCCATGACTGATGGTATGTTGTATGAATCTTGGTATCTCTACCTCTCTCACCATTGACATTACCTAGCACAGTGTTGGAAGAAGAGGTAAGAAGCAGTTTCTACCGAGCCTTGAAAACCATACTGATGAGTTTAAACTTTATTCTAAAAGTAATAGGGGATCCAGGAGCAATGATAAAGGACATAACAAGAGGCAGGGAGACCTGTAGTAACCCATGCAAGAGAAGAATTTTAGGGCACCAACGATCTGCAGGGCACTCTGTGAAAGATATACATGATGATAGGATTAGACAAATTCAGAAACTAGAATAGAGGTAGAGTCAAGTGAACTTGGTAAAGATGGAAGGAAACAAAGATGGGAACAAGGAGTAACGAATGACACTCAGGTTTATGGTTTATGGAAGTTACCACCCACAGAGAGTGGGAGCAAGGGAGAAGGTGTAGATTTAAGATTAGATGATGAGTTTATGGAAAATCAAGTTGAGG